TCACAATAAACTGTAACAGGAATTCTAATAGGTCTTTTAATAAAAATTCCAGTGCCAGATATTGGGGTAAATGCCTGAGCAGTTTGTAGTCCAAAGCTGATCTTATCTTCGGGTAGTATTTATCAGCTTGGTGTCATTATCATACTCCTGGTAGAATCTTCATTGTGGGGTCCTATCTTCTTTTTGGAGACTTCAAAGTCGCTGTTAGGCATGATCATGGTTCACTGCAGGAAACTGATAGAGACTCAGGCCTGAAATCATGTACAGGAAGCTAGACAAAGCCTTTTTTTTAGAATTAGTTAGTACTCTGTATGACCATTAATGTCTTGACCAAAGTTTAATATGAATATATATATATATATATATATATATATATATATATATATATATATATATATATATATATATATATATATACATATTATATATATATGTGTGTGTGTATGTATGTGTGTATACATATATATTAAAATTTTTGATATAAAATTCATACCTTAAGAAAAGTTATAAAGAGTCAAAATAAAACCAAAGCATCATGAGATTAATAACAATAGAATAGTTCCTTAATTTTGTTTTTCTTCTGTCCCATATCAGGTGGCTCTTCTGATATGATACAGAGATTTTGCATTTCTTTTAACAAGCATGCGTTGATTTAGAGAAGGAGAGAGCCACACTCCAACTACAAAGCCAGCTTTAATTTTTAAGTAAACTGAGACTACATAAAGACCATTTGCATTATGTGTCTGTAGAGAACAGCATAAATAAACTTTTAGACTTATATAATTTTGTCCTGTTAGATATGTGATCTACCAAGAAGGAAATTTATTCTTTTTGTTGGGACATTTTTTCTGGATGATTTGTCCTTCTTTCTTCAGATGTCTCATTTGTCCAGTGTTCTTCAGATTCGTTATCCTTCATTCTCCTAAAAGACAAAAACAAAAACCTTTCCCCAACCCTTACTTTGGGGAGGTTCCCTTTTGGCAAGTTATATCTGATGACATGAAAAGCATTTGTTAGTTGTACAAGTTAATTTAAATTGAATTGTCATACATGTTGATGAACTATCACCTTTTCTAATTAAGAGGTCTCTCTTGTTCAAATTGAACCTTTATCAATTTTGATGGTATCCATAGCTTTTCTTCTCCTGTGGAAACAAAAGCAAAATCTCATCTCCAATGTAACACATACCCTGTTTTCAATTCTGAGGTCAGCACATATTTAAAATATACAGGCTGATTTAATTCTGTAGTTTTTTTTTCTATTATCCAGTGTCTCTTTGCAGCTGCTGTTCCTTTCTCATTATCATTGAGAAGATTCAAAGTTAATAAAGCATTATGTAATCTATTTCTGGGAGATTGTTATCCCCTTTCTGTTTATTTAGCATTTCCTTTACAGTTTGAATTGATCTTTCTATGATGATTTGACCTGCATGATTGTATAGTGTACATGTAGTATGCTTTATATTGTAATAAGCAAAAAACTGAAGGAAGGGGTTATAAAACTTGGTAAATATGTCCACTGATGGTCAAAATGCCCTTTTTAGATAAGAAATTTTGAGCACACAGAACAATGGCACTTTTGCCACTGCCACACATGTGAAATCTAGACCCTGATTTCATTGTATTATCACTTTTATATGTGGTTATATGAGTAGCCCTTTCTCTCCCTCTCTCTCTCCCTCTCTTTCTCCCTCTCTCTCTCTCTATCTCTCAAAGCATAATAGGAAAAAATATCCTTAAAGGATATTTTCATCTACTATATTTTTGAAGGAAAAAATTTACTCTGCCCCATAACAGGACAGCAATCTTAAAAATACTCATTAAAATGTTCATTATACTCATGTCCAGGCTGTTCATGTAGATCTCATCCATTTCTCCATCATTGGGTGATCCCTGTGTCATTCTTGGGGTCCTGTTTTCCAGGTAGCCTCACTGGTGAGTAGCAGTCCAGTCATCCTTGTTCCACATCTAGTATCCTACTATGAGTGAGTACATACCATATTTGTCTTTCTGAGTCTGGGTTACCTCACTCAGAATGATTTTTTCTAGATCCATCCATTTGCCTGCAAACCTCATGATGGCATTGTTTTTCTCTGCTGAGTAATATTCCATTGTGTATATGTGCCACAATTTATTTATCCATTCTTCAGTTGAAGGGCATCTAGGTTGTTTACAGGC